TTAATATTATTTTTTAAAGAATAATTCTTATTCATTTATTTGTTCAGTAATTTCTTAAAATGGAAGTGTCTTCTTGAAAGGGCATGCTGTTTAATGTCTGGTCAGCAGCAGACCTAAGGCGAATGTTTCCGCACATTTCAAACCATAATACACATATCAGAAACGTGAATTTGCGTATTTAATATAAGGCATGTTCTTTCCTGCCTTTTTAAGTCTCGGGCAAGGAAAACAGAATGGAACAATCTGTATGAATAAGAAAGTTGTTCTTTTTAAAGTGCCAGAAAACATAACGCCTTCAGGCAGTGTCCAATGGCTAGAATGCATCCCACAATGATTCAATCTTTTTGCGTTCTCCCAGTGTCCACAGTCCAGATACATTTTGTTGTTACAATTAATTGAAGTTGCTTTATGCGTTTCTATCAGCATTCTGTCCGCCTTTTCAGTACCGTATAAGTTTTCTTTGCACTTGACAATGCTCTTTAGCAGCATTCTTGTATACAGCAAAAGAAGTTAGTTTGACTGCATGAGTGTAAGTCAATTTTTTGTTTGCATTTTCTGTGTGCAAACATTTCCCCCTTCCCTACCGAAAACTAACTAAAAACCAGTCAAACAAATTACCAAACACACTAAAAACAAGATCTGTTTGATTTATTGGTAACACGTCGGGTAGTTTCAAAAATAAAAAGTAGGTGGTTGGCGGGTGCTCTGGTGTGGTTTGCTCCTTCTTTTCTATCGAACATCTATCAGACTATCGTCATTATCTCCCCTCCTTCTTTTTTTTTGGTGTGTTTTACTCTCTTGCAACACCTCTATTCTTCGGCACTTATATGACCTTATTGTGTTGCAAGTGCCGTAAAACACTCACTAAAACAAAAAAATAAAAATCAACACCACATGCTGGTCCGTCCATGAAAAATATATATTGCCAATAGGACACTTAGTCTTAACTACATAAAACTTCGAGTACTCATAGAACGGGGGATTTTTTGTTGTGGGGTTCGGGGTAAGGGAGGGGGGGGGGGATCACCGACTAGCCGTTTAAGTTTAAGACAGCAATTCAACTCGTAAGTTTCTGCATTTGGCTTAAAATCATTCTGTCACATTTATAAAAACATGGGGTTGTTTTCGTGCAACATGCTTTGTGTGTGTGTGTTTGTATGTGTGTATGTGCGCGCGTGTGTGTATGTGTGTGGGTTTGTGTATGTGTGTTTACGCGCGTGCGCGCGTGTATGTGTGTGTGTGTGTGTGTGTGTGTGTGTGTGTTAACGTGTGTTTATGTGTGTTAACGTGTGTGTGTGCGTGTGTGTATGTGTGTGTGTGT